ATTTTCAAGATGGATAAATTTCATTCCGGGTTAACTGGTTTGCTCTGCTTACCTAAATGATCTTCCATTAACTTACCCACGCTGCTTACGCTTATTGTGGTAAAGTTCATAAACGTTGTCGTTTGTGGCACTTTTTTGTATAACCTGTGGATCTTGTTTACTTATCGCGGATTCGTTGCTAGCCAACTTAAAGTATATGCTATTTTAGCGAGGAGTTATGTCGGTATAACCGTATGCTTTAACATATATATTTTATATGATAAAGTTATTGCAAGTGATCGGCTGTTGTTTGACATCCCCGATGTGGCTGCGCTTGATGTGCATGTTGACAAGGTGTCTACCTGTCTATTACCCACTACCTCGTCCATACTGTCTCTAGGAGATAGTCGGTCGTTGTTGGAGGGGACGGGGGTGCACGGTCCTTGTGGTCGTGCTAAGCTCGAATAGTGGTTCCATGCACTCAGTGTGGAGCGGACTACGGTCCAGCCACCGCCTTGTGTGCGCTTGATTCCCCAAATACATCGTGTTTGTGTTGCCCGTAAAGAAGTGTGGGCCGGCTCCATTGATGAAATGGATAAATTTCATTCCACTTTATGTGGTTTGTTCTGCCTACCTGAATAATCTGCTATTTACTGGCCACGTTGCTTACACTAATTGCGCTTATCTTCGGTAACTGCGCTGCGTTTGTAGCATTTTTGAGTATCTTGCGGACATTTCTAACTTATCGCCGTTTCGGTGGTAACCAACTTACTTCATAAGATAATTTAGCGAAGAGTTATGCCACCGTATCTGTATGCATAACCCGATTTATTTTATTTCAGCGTGTCGTTTAAAGTGAATGGCTGTTGCTTGATATCCCCGGTGTGGCTGCGCTTGATGTGCATGTTGACAAGGTGCCTACCTGTCTATTACCCACTACCTCGTTCATACGGCTCCAGGAGACAGTTGGTCGTTGCTGGAGGGGACAGGGTGCACGGTCGTTGTGGCCGTGATAGGCTCAAAGAGCGGTTCCATGCAGTCAGTGTGGAGCGGAGTACCGTCCAGCCACCGCCTTGTGTGCGCTTGATTCCTCAAATACAGTGTGCTTGTGTTTGCCTGTGAAGGAGTGTGGGCCGGCTCCGTTGATGAAACGTGGCTCCCATCCGCATGCCTCCCGGTCTTATTCCTCCGGGTTTACACTGGATATGGGGTGTGTGGGTGGTGCAGCGCAAGCCATCCACGATCCCTCTGTAGGCGCAGGCGTCCTGTGGCTGGAAACAGTGACAGGCAAATCCGAAACCGGATGCCGCCAACCATATATATATATACATATATATATATATTTATATATATAACACGACCAATAGTACAATTGGTATTGCGCCACAACGTGTGGGAAATACAATAAACAAATGAGAGGTATATATATATATATATAATTGCAACAGTCTATGAATAGACATTGCACCATCGGAAACCATGGAACTCAAAACAAGGTACAGAAATAGTAAAAGAAAACACAACACAACACAACAATGTCCGCGGTTTCGTCAGAGGGCGAAATACTACCCGGTTGCCCAGGCCGAAGTAGGGTGTTGACTTAGGGGATACCACCCCGAGCCTTTGGCTGAATAGCCTGTCCGCAAGGCAGCGGAGCGAATTCAAGGAATCGCACCCATTGGGAGCCGGTGACTGATTGATCAGTTCATACGCCTTTCGTTTGTTCCTTTGCCAAACAGGGGCCCAATGCTCCCCGAAATTACAGCATCAACTTGCTGGAATACAATGCTTCGCCAGGATGAAGCAAGGGGCAGCGACTTTATTTAGTGGCGAGTCACGTCCGCCACGTCACAGTGTTGTTAAACGGACATACGTGGCTTTTTATAGGGAGAACGCTTGCCAGGCGAAAACCCACCACGTCCTGGAACACTGCCGCCGAACCATTTGCTGGAACGGGAAAATCCCGAACCACCCAGCTGGCACCACGAGGAGGTTGTTCGGCAAGCCAGCATCCTGACGGATCCGATGGATGTGCACTACTGACGATGCCCAACAGGCTGAAACTGCAGTCTAGTGCTTTTCTGGGCATGTGGACGACTATCTGATTTGGAAACTGGCTGCAATGGACCTCACATAAGTCCGCCATTGCGCATGCTTTCTTGTCATATCATGTGTGTTCTGTATCCTTCATACCCCAACCAAGGAGCGGACGGCGTCCGTCCACGGCTTAGTTTGACGTCAGCTCCGTCATGCTCCTGGCCCAAGTCATAGACTGGCCAGTTTGCTTACGCTTCCAGCCGACTTCTGCGCGCGAAGTGGGCACGGTGAGGTAAACGATGAGTAGGCATGCAGAGAACATACCTAAGCCACTGGAGTCTAAGCAGAGAGATTATGCTGCTCAGTGGCCAGGCAAAGTATGTCTGATCTGGAAATCCTCTGTGGAACATCTTCATCACTAGTGTGATGTTGATGTCGTACACCATCAATGCTCCGAAAGCAGCGGTGATCGAAAACAGACAGCTTCACAACATCCTTTGCACGAACAGGTCAAGTCTCCCAGCCATAGAGCAGAACTGCTCTTACTGTGGTATGGGAAACTAGGCCCTTAAGAGATACACACAGATCGTCTCGACGCCAGAAATAGCGGAGATTGGTAAAAGCAATCCGAAGCTTGGAGGCGCGCAAAGAGATCTCATGCATTAAACCATTAGCGCTAAGGCAGCTACCGAGGTAAACAAACTTGTCTACCACTTCCAATGAATGATGTGAAAGGCTAAGGATAGGAGCAGCGCCTAGTCAGTCCTGCAGAAAGACTTTGGAATTCGATGGTGCGAAGGTCATTCAAAAATGGGAAACAGACACCTCCATCTTACACAGGATAATTTGAGCGGCTTGTGAGGAAGCGTAGATTACAGTGATGTCGTCTGCATACTCCAAATTTTGAAGTCCGTCCCCCGGAAGCAGCTCGACGCCGCTGGGTTTGTAGTTCTCCAGAGCACTCTCCAGGATTTCGTCTATGGCGAAATTGAACAAGAAGGGGGATGTTGGGCGACCGTCTCATGCCACTAGTGATATTAAAAGGGGGCAAAAATCCGCCATACACCCGCACTAGGCCAGAGGCTGCTACGCTGCGAAGGCACCGATGATGGAAATTAATAGTCTCTTTATGTCTATCGACTTGATGGACCAGGTTTCACAACCGTACAGGAGGGTTGTACGGACGGTTGCATTGTATACTCTGCCCGGCGCCACAAATGGCGGAGATTAGCTTCATAAATACGCAAAGAACAGTAGTGTAGTAGGTAACTCTGAAATTTCGCATCCGCTTAAATAACGTTTGCAGCAGCGCCACTCCATTCGAATTCTCTAGTAGCTGCAAGGAAGGAAGTATGGGGAACTTAAAACTAACCGATCCCGGTGGCACATTATTGTGAACACACTATATCACAGATTTCAAACATACTTTCTTCACGGCATCTAGTTCGCATGGTAATCTGCAGAACAGACTAGTGAGGTGTCGTAAAGAGTGCCCCTACCTTTGAGTCTAGAGTAGATACAAATAATATCGGTATATTTGCCTTGTTCGCTTGTATACCAGCCAATCCATCGATTTTTCTATCTTTCCTACCCATCCTTTTCTCGAGAGGCCTAAGTAACCGCAGTATAAACATGCTACGATCGCTTATTTGCCGAAGTGCCAACCACTACAGCTTCTCGAAACGCTGAAACACCTCAACTACGATCGTTGCTGAGAACACAGACTCCAACAACATCCGCTAACAGAGTTTACGAGTAGACTAAACCGATCGCAGATAAACTGTATAGAGCTGATGTTCGATTTTACAAACTCGACCTGGGAGCGAACAACTTGGATGATTAAGTTTAATGTCTACGTGGTCTACATAATTGGCCCGATATCCAACAAAACAGATTGGCAACACACAGGCCGCCAATATCCGGTAGTTAAGCGGATTAAATTGCATCTGTGTCCGAGTAACTGAATTTGTCAACAAGCAAATGGGTAGAGGAGGAACAAGCCCAGGCGAATAGAAATCCATCCGAAAGTGTAACGATCAGCCATCTGATGCAGTGCGGCAAGTAAAGGCATTAGCGCTACTCCTTGGTACAAATAATCATTACTGGAATTGGAAGCACGTTCCAACCATCCGGAAATAAAGCAATTTGAAGAAGTTTTTATACCGGACTCTGCTATCCAATGGGTATCCAGGGAAATTCATTCAGACCCATAGCACACACACCCCCCAAGGAGAAGTTGCCAGTACAAACAACGGAGAAAAAGAATGTTTATTTGTTCTTACCGTTCAATGGGGATCATGTGGCAAATGAAGTCGGTCAGAAGCTCAGGCCGATTCTAATAAGTACCTACTCTACCGCCCAACTACGACTTATCCACACTACACGAAGGATTCCTCTCCATAGCCGTCCGAGTAGCTCGCCAATCAGTTAGGCCTCTAACATCATCTACCAGTTAACTTGCAGCTGCGGTGACACTTAAATCTGCAAGACTGGTCGCCGGCTGGCTCAAAGGGTGGCAGAACACTTCCCATTGTGGCTAAGGCAGTTGCTGTCTCACCAAGACGGAGCGGAGCAAACAATGAACCGGAACCCTGCCTCGTTTAACACCAAACACCTAATGACGACTCGTCACCAAGTGAACTCATTCGATGCATTCAAGGTGCTATGGCGCAACAGGAAACCGGCGTCGTTGGCAATTGGCGAGGCGCTACTAATAAGGTTGCATTGTCCAGTGCTCTGTACCAGAAACAACTGAGGCAATCAATTAGATTGTATTGGGCCTGATTACGTCATTCACATCAATGCTATCTGCTTATCTATGTTAGTAAGTGTGGACCGTGTATATTGGGTGTTTTGTTCTGCCTGTATTGCGTAGCGACTGACGAAAGCAATCGAAATGTTAACCTATCGCAACCTATGTTTTCTTACTGCATTAATGAAGTGGTTGAAGGGTACTCAAGGTTTCATGATTCATTTATGTAAAAGCATAAACAAAATCCACACCTAAATGAACCGTGACACGGCCAGCAGGATGTGTGAAACAGTTAAGTTTCAAGTAGTAAGATGTATTTCTATATCTGATGTGTCAAAGACCACGTGAGTATCAAAAGTCGTGTAGGAGGTTGCTCCCAATTTGATGAACATGTCAGCGCAGATGATTGAAAGCACCAACGGTCGTAATAAATAATTTCCTGAGCCTTCAGCGCAACTGGAAAACGGATGGGATATCCTCTGGAGTGTATTTCAGTTTTAGACTCTGAAATCTAGACCCGAATGCTGATAAGTAGAAAACACTCACTTTTCTGAATCAAAATGATAGTAAAATCCAGAAATTTCCCCAGTGGAAGTCTTCAAACCAATGTAATAAAAACCAGCATATGACGCTCCATCAACCTCTTTGATCTTGGGATCTGGTAGCAAGAATTTTTCCTGCATGCATCTGAAGCTATCAGATACCAAGAAATACCTTCCATCGCATATAAATTGTATCTGATTTCCCTAACTGTGAGTAATCGAAGTTGTCCTCCTGGAAATCGTCAAACCAGCCATTGTCGGCTATTCTTTTCTGTACGAAAGTTAGTAAAGATAATCAGCCCCACCCAGTGCGATATGTCTGTCTCGATTGATGCGTCCCACTTGCCAGTAATGAAAGGATGCAATCGACTTATAATCTCTCCTTCGAAGTAAGTAGTCAGACTAGCATTGGCTTTGGTAAGGTTGTCCATTTTGAGGTAACCACACAACCACTTTTTGGCTGGTTGAACAAGCTGTCCAAAAGTTAATCACAAAAAAACTTTTTGAATGGGAGTACCTGTATTGTGACCTCCACATCGTATTCTTTACCTTTAGAGGTTTGTGAGCCTTTAAACACAGCACCATCATGCAGACATGAAGTGATCGTTGCATGGGGTAGTGAACGAGGACGTAAATCAAGCTGGAACGAACCCAGCATTCCAGTAGGACGATCCCAGAATAGGAATCACTGGTGAGAAAAACAAAGATGGGGTATAGATACCGAATAGCAGTGGAAGCGAATTGCAACCAGCGTTGCTAGTTGGGACGCAAAAACATAGGTTATACAATAAATGAAGCCAAAGAATATGGTTTCGCGGAAATCATTCTCGTTTCTCGGCCAACGGCAATGCTATATTGGCGTGCGATGACAGCAATGCATCGATGGACCATTGTATGGCAAACCAGTGGACGACTGAGCGCTATCACCTTGCTATTGATAAAGAGGAAGACCAATAAATAAAACGGTGATTAAAGGATGACGGGATGGAGCAGAATGCGTCAGCAATGTTATGAGTAAGGACACTACTGTGAGATACAGTTCAAGTTGCAATTGATGACGAGTTTTTTAAACGCTAATAATAGACACGCGGATGGAAACCCGAGAGTGATGAGCACAGCATCCAAACTATATGGCGCATGACTGGCTTTATCAGAAGAAGATGCTTACATTGAAACCGCACTTAGGAGTGGACCAACAGGTTCAGAGCTGAATTGTCAGCCCGTGGTCGAAAGGACAAGATGTCTGTCTTGCAACCCGGAGGTCGCGGGTTCAAGCCTACGCAGGAGACCGAGCAAACTTCGCAATATCTTTAGACTACGCGCGACTGGTGATGGTTATGTGGTAGGGAAACGCAGGCACAATGTACCGGCGTATTGCTAATGCCTTTGTCATAGCTGTTACTGAAAAGTCGCTAATGTCCGTTAATTAAAGTGTTCCGCACCGTCAGATCATGACAGGAATCCGCTTTGAACATCTAAAGATGTAGCCCAATGAGGTCAGGAGATGTGCTACTTTAATATGATGGTTGCCTTACTCATTCCTTTATTAATGGAAAGAACAGGGAATGTGGTTATAGGACACACCTATGCTAAAATCAGTGTCACATTAAGAGAAATCTAAGATGCGAATCAGAGAGCACGAGGTGGTAACTGGCCAGTGAATTCGCATAATCACGACATCGGAGAAGCACTGAGGTGATGTCGTCTCATAATGCTAAACACTAGATAAAGTCGGAATGAGGGGAAATTGAAATACGAGTGAGCGATCCTTGTAATGAGTCACATCAAGTCATAATATGTAGAGAATAAGATAGGGTAAGCAAGAAAGTCACAATCAACCGCTATCAACAATGGTAACAAGAGGCTCGTGGTAATGAGTTTTCGAAACAACTAATCTTACGCATACTTCCCAGATCAGTAGCGTCAGCTTAATAACATTTCAAACAACTTAAATTGCAATCGCTGCTGCTCTGGAAACAGGATTCACTGTGTCAAATACCTTCAAATAATGAATAGACAATATGATGTCGGGCAGTTAACTAGAGTCCGCGACGAATAAGAGGTGAGTCCACCGTATCCAATTGTGTCTCAAGATGAGTGCCACTTTTTAAACCCACAGAAAACAATAGATCTAAATTATCCCACAAGGAAACATGCACCATTTAGCCCATATATTGATAGTCGGGTGTCAAACGCTGTCAAAGCAGAGCGTAAATTCAAAGCAAGCAAGACAAGGTGATATAAGTGATGTACACACAAAACGCGTGTAGGAATGGGCGTGGGGCATCCACCAACTACCTATGCTACCTTCGCCATCGTTGCATAGCGCAGTCAGTCAGTCGGCACTATCGCCTAACCCTGCTTAGAACACAGCTACAGAAAATGCACTGAATATCAATGAGAAGGCAGGGTAAATAAATTTCAGATTAGTGAGTAACTTCAAAAGTCAGTACCTCGGGGACAAGCGACTTATCTAGCAAAGGCAATTCAGCGAAAATTACAGCACGCTTGACGGGCATAAAGTCACAATAAATGTTATTCGAGAATTTCGGCAAACATTCCAGAATCAATGAGGTCCCTAGTTTGCAGCATTAAAAACTGTGAGGGACTCGTTGTGGTGCACACGGACATCAGCATATCAGGAGTTGTGTAGGAGAATGCTTACGCCCATTGAGCCCCATGATAGAATCCGTTGGGTTCGTTGCTCAGTGATTGCTTGGTGTATTCCGCGGATCAACCCGTTCACTTTGGCAAAACATCACCATCAAAGCGAGTATCATGAAACAAAGTCCAATCGAAATTGTAACCCGTTAAGTTAATAGACGAGTTGCCTAAATGGTGGACCAGGAAATATTGACCGGCTTTGCGACACTATTTGCGTTCACTCAATGAAGAGAGCAGTGGTCACGATCAAACACCTTCCGTTTCTAGTCAAAAGTTCTTACGTGCGGTGCTAATTTACGTCAGATTAAGCTAAAACAAACCACGTTTCCCGATTTGGTTTTATCCTTGAGCTCCTTGAAATAGAAATTGGGCGAAGATACCCATCCTTTCTGCAACTGAAATTCAAATGTTTAGGCAAGACCACTACAACAGACGAGTTTGTGCGTTGGCTAAGTGCTCAAATTAATGAACTCATGTTGGATGATTCGGCACTTTGATTCCCAATAACTAGTTCGACCGCACATTGCGCCATTATCATTGAGATCAGCACTTTCACCAACGCTCCCAGCAATAAGTCTGCGCTACCACCTCAACACAAAATGATCGAGGAGTATTTAATCCCACTGGACATTCTTTTGCCTATTCTGAAAGCTGATTTCTGACCGAGATAAGTGCAAATGGCTGGAAACTGTAATTCCACTAGATCGAATAGTGCCACCGATCTTATTTTCTTCAAGGGGACACTCACTTCCATATGTCTCGGGTTTGCACACTTTCATCGCAAACTGCAACGTACTACAATTCATTGAAGAGCGTCCCCAGAGATTTAAAAACCGAAGGCGAACATACGAATAGTTACAATCGTTCGAGATGTGCATACAGTGGCAATTGACAAGAGACGCGAACCTTTCCACTAGCACCCCTGTCAAATGTCACTACAGTGGTTCGTGACCGCGTTACTGCGGCAGTGAAATGCAGTGGATCACAGCTCGCGAGGTCGAGAACTACACGATGATAAGTCCTAATCCAACAAATAGGTGGCGCACGTTGATCAGGCCGCTGAACAAGCGACATTTCCGACAGTAACTTGTGTAACGTCAGTGTTAAGCTGGATGAGCCAACGTTTCATTTCCTATGGTACATGCACCGACATCGGATGCAGGCCATGAGGAAGGTGGACATAATTTGTTGACAACACTGATAATAACGATCAGGCCCTGCATGCTGCATCAAATTGAGCAAGGAGTGTGTCAGAGCATGATGGCAGTGGCCAGTGATATGTAGTATTAACCCCTAATCCTCCAATGATTCCTGTGACTGCGTTATGGTATGCGAATGTGAAATTGTTGTAGACCTCCTCTCCATTGTTGCTGTGCCCCATCTTCTGAGCCCTGTCGCTAGCGAAAATCAAGAGAACACGGCACATATTGTAGACTGCAGACAACTGGTGAAATTTTATGAAGGAAAAAAGTTGTCTAAGACACAAATTCGCGAACCTTCTATACTCTATATAGGTGGCATTGATTAACTGATATCGACCACTTTAGAGCACTTAATTTGATGTCTCGAGCAACCGCAAAACAGTCACGTTCGGTCGCAGCTGGGATTCAATCGGTGGAAGGGAACAAAGCAACACGCATGTAGGCTCGGAATCAGTGTTCGCAAGTGACTACCGGAATGGTCGTGTAACATGGACTTCTGATAAGATTAAGTGTGAACAAGGGGAACTGATCCGCGACGTACGCACTGGATCGCGGACCTGGGTCCGCCATACAATCACATTCACCAAAAGCTCTGTCAGCCAGAAAAGGTAAAGTCCGCGGAGTTAGTTTTGGACCCGCTTGTGGATCATGCCAATTTACAGAAGGATGGCACGGAGAATTGCAGGCGGCTGAACGATGCAGCCGACAGTCCGGAACTAGCTCCGAAGGTATTTCAACCCGGGTGATAGACCGACAGATGGAGAACAGTCTTTAAGACTGTAAGTCGGCCCAAGGCTATTAAGTTACACTGCAACCATGGTCTCAGGAAAGGTATCTGGAGGCAAAGGCTCAAAGGGAAACCAATTATTTCAATGAGAAAATGACTTGAACAAATAATGTTCAACGGAAGAATCGGGTCAATCTAAGAACGCTCAGCCTGTTACGCGACGCATGGCTTAAGTCCTTACTGGTCAGAACGAAACCAAACAGGACTCTTGATTTCAGAAGGGTTTGAATACAACCGGTAAGTGTGGTTTGTTGGTAACGCTTCGTTTTTAACATAAAAAGTTCATCAAGCAGAATGAACCAGCAGATGGTCGGTGCAAAGTAGGAAGATAATCCCGACGATTGGGAAGTACGTAGAAGGGTAATCGTGGAATATGTCAAAGTGTCACTACAACTGGTGCACAGAACGAGCACAAGCGGTCCGCGTTACCAAGTAATCACACGTAAGCATCTGTAAGGGGATGATTTGATGTTAACTCACTGTTCCGAATCCGTCCACCGATGTTCATCATCATTCATCAGTATATGCCTTAGCTAGAAGTGAAAGACCTCAGCTACTGTGCCGCAGCCGGTGTTCCTCAGACTGGTCGGGTTAAAACAGCTTGCCATACGGTGGAAAGCCTCACCTCGTCCATTCTTTCCATGCATCTGCTGACCTTGGTGATTTCCCCTGCCTCAGAAGTCAGTCACTGATGGGTTGATCGCATCCCCCTTCTAACGATATCGGCATTAGCCATGTCGAATTCGCGACCTCTATCTATCGCGTACATCGCTCACGAGTAGTATTCAAGCTCGTTCCTCGATAACAATGATATGCACCACTTGTGTTCTGTTATCCCCATGAATAAAACTCCTATGGTATAGTCTATGTACACTTTTTGCGCAGTAGTTGCAATTAATTTGGTAGACGCAATTAGTTATCCTATCTGTGAGAGTGTTTTTCAAGTGGACCAGTGTCAGGTGCAGCGTTTGGCCCTTCTAGAAAGTTACTATGCTGATAGTTTCCGAAGTTACCTCATGAAAAGCAATTCCTGTTG